AACTTGCATTTTAGCCTTAGCACAGAGTAATTCCTATAATTACAGGTATTTTCATCCTTCCCTTGAAATGAATAGTCCCTGCTCCAAGAGGACACCTTTTGCATGGCTCTGAGTCCATCATTCTGTCTTTTTTAACTACAAATAGAGACATCAATTTCAATCATTATTGCACCTGAAAGTTTTTCCAAATTTACCATGACATTTTATTTACATTCTACAGTGAGAATGTATGAAAATAAGATTTGATAGTCTCATTTTTTTCTTATGAAGAATGAGATTCAGAAATCATGAGTAAGATGTGGAACTAATATCATCACCATGTAGCATTTGATCATGTAGGACTAAAAAGAATTGTTCTCAAAATGCCAGCAACTCTTCTACTGAAATTTTTAATTCAATTTAATATTGCAGATGCAGAGATTAGGAATATGATCCCATGAAAAAGGCAGAGAAGATACAGAAAGAATAGTCAGGGTTTTAAGATCAAATGCGATTTCAAAATATTTTATCTTTTCTGTTAAAAAAATTTAAATATAGATACATCAGTAAATTTTTCTAATATATTAATATTTCTGTTTATGCAGTCAATTATACAGATTTGATCATAAACAGTTACATAAATTGGACATGTTACATCCACACCAATCTTAGAAAAATACTCTCCCATGTCACTGGTGTATGTCTATTGAGTGAATGGAGGTGAAATACAATTTGAATAGGAATTATATCTTTGAATAAATAGTAATACTACTAAATTAATTTATCATAAATATTTGGAGATTATTTTTGCAAGACTAGTATATTTTGACAGATTTTATAATAATTTCTTAGAAGAAATAGCACAAGATAAGGAAGTTATCTTCAATTATGGCAAGAGAGTTAATAAATTAATTAACCACTTAGGAGTGAAAGGATAACATGGTTCATGACATATATGAGATTTCAGAAGTAAAACCCACAGATATAGGGAAACAACTTTTGATGATATCTTAAACCTCAGTTAAAGAGGGTAAATTTAATTGTAAACCAGTTTCAGCCTAATTTGTGATGACCAAACTGGGATCTCTCAGAGATCACAGTGCTTCCCTAAACATACAGGAAATGTATACAAAACCACAGCATAGCAACAGTTGATATGAATTGATTTTTCAGTGCTAAGCAATGTAATGATTCATAAAGCATATTTTTCTTCTCACCAACATAATCTCTTAATAAGCTTATGTGTGTTACCCACCTGAGTTTACCATACTGTTTTATAATTACTTTAATTACGCACCATTTATATCCGTTAATTTTTTTTTTTTCCTAGATCATCATCCTGGAACTTGGATAATAACTGTTAATGACAATGATATTTCCTTAAATTTTCACTGCATGTATTTCCATATACACAAGTAACCTGTAGATGTCTTCTTTTCCTTGTTAAATAATGCTAATGTAAATTCTACAGACTTATACGTCAATGAAATTTCCAGAGGTATAACTCATGACTGAAACTGAACAATTCTTTTCCTCAACAGTTCCAACTGCATTTTGTTATGTCACCTTTATTTAAATATTAATAACCAGTTGCACTCTTAAAATGTTCAGGACAACTAGCATATTTTCTTGCTTCTGTTTGCTACTCTGGGAAAAATCATGCCTTTTATTTCTTTCTTAGTCTTGAAGTTACTTCCTCAAATCTAAGTGTTCCAACAGAGGGTAGATTTCAATTAGATATTAGGAAGAAATTCCTTTTTGTGAGAGTGGTAAGACACAGGAACAGATAGCCCAGAGGAGCTGTGGATGCTCCATCCCTGGAAGTATTCAAGACTGGGCTGGATGGGCTGCTTTGAGCAACCTGGCCTAGAGGAAGTTGTCTCTGCCCATGGCAGGGGGATTGGAACTAGATGATTTTTAAGGTCCCTTCAACCCAAACAGCTCCATGATTCTGTGATTCCATGATTATTTTTCAGAAAAAAATAATAAAAAATCATGGAATATGGAAACAATTCCAGTAACCTGTTCCTAGCCAGAAATATTTGAACCCATGTGGGATTATGGGACCTGTTCTCCTACTGAGAGATTGTGTTTCTCTGAACTCCAGGGTAAAACACTATTAATTTATCAGAGTAATATAGCTGTAAATAACTATTTTAACACACTCACAAAACATTGTTCACTCTCTCATTGTTCCTAAGATAAGGAATATTCTTTCAAATCTGTCTTTTTGCATCTCTATTTTTGTACCTCTAGGGTTAGCAATCACCACAGGTTTTTTGTTTTCTTTTGGGGTTTTTTTTGGTTTTTTTCTTTTAGGTAGAATCAATCTAATTTTTAATCGTGAAATCATGTTTACTCAGAAGCAAAACAGCTGAAACAGCACTAAAACTGCCCATGTGAGAAGAGAAGTCTCTTACAGAGAGATCCATATGACTGACCCTCCAATGCTGAAGGATCTTCATTGTGTAGACCTGTGTTGTGCGTGGGCCGTGGGATAAATGCAGACCTTAGATGGCACCTAATTTCTCCATTTTCACAAGCAAACTAGCTACGTAGGCAGGTGCAAACTAATTAAAACCAATTTGTACCAGCTGAAACTTCTTTGGTTTTTTTGAGAAGTTAATTACCATTATTTACCATGAGGAAAATTTAAAAAAAAAAAAAAAAAGTGAAGTAATTCACTCCAAGTTCCTGCTCAAAAGTCACTTAAAAGTTCCTTAAATTGTGTTTATCCCATAATATACAACAATTTGGAAAGGCTAAGCCTAAGCAAAAATTCTTCCTGCTCGCTTCTTGACATTTTGTCAGAAAGACCTGTAGAAAGAAGACTCCTCCTAGAGTGTAAATACCTGAGGGAAAGTCAGAGCATCCTCTATTTACCTGTGCACCTGCAAAGGAAAACTAAAATGTCTGAAGCCCCACCTTTTAAGAACCTTGTGAAACAATCTGGGAACTGAGCCAAAACCTACTCTCTCGGTATATAAGGCTCGGGAACAGAGAGGTATTTCCTCAGAGGCAGGTTGTTCGGTAGCTTCTACCGGACTTCCAGAAGATGGGCAGAGGTGGTGGGACTCGAATACCACTATGGATATCAATACTAGCACTTGTCTTCATACAGATCAAAGGTAGGAAGATTCACTTTCTTGGCATTTTTACTGTTTTAAAGAATTTATAGCTTACTTTGGAGTTTGAAATATTTTTTTTCCTTGGCTTTGTGAGGTTAATGAACCTGTTACATTCATGCAAGATTTTCTTTTCTGTTAAAAATACTTTGCTTCCTAAAAAGAGGAAATTACCTCTCTTCAAACTGCTATCTTGTTTTCTCCAGTTGAAATCTGGAACAGCTCCACTGCATCAGTGGAACTCACTCAGAACTTACATGCTTCAAGATTTAGCTTTTGATGTTTATTTCATGGTACAGCATTTCTAAATGCACAAACCAAAAGGTGCAAAAGTACCTCTAGAAAGGAACAAGTCAGTGGATGAGAGTGTCTGCATGCATTATTAAGGATTTTGTTTATCAGCTGATGACACAGTATTGAAAAAAGGGAGGGTTTTGCTTGAAAATCATTGGACAATAGGTTTTAAAGGTTCTTTTACTCTTGCCCATGAGGTTGCATAAAAGCTTAGAACACACTGGTTTGCAATGGGCTGAAAGCAAATGAAACTACTTTAAATATTCTTAAAGGGCATTAATAGTCACAGATGGATTGAAATCTCTTTTTACATTTTTTCAATTATTTTTTCATCAGATAATTTCCCTTAAAGTTCAAGGTAACAACAATGTTAATTTTCTAGTTTGATCTCAGTTGCAGATTCTACTGTATGATTTTATATTTTTTTCTGCTCCCACACTAACTTATGTTAAAAAGTGGTAGTGTCCAGGAATAGCCCATCAAATGACTAGCTGTGGCATTACCACACCATGCAATGGAAGCAGGGATCTACAATGCATATGGCAGAGTGGGGCCATAGAGTGCATGGAGAGAGAAGCAAAAAGCTCTCAGGCTGGGCAGCGAAGGAGCCCAGAAGCACTGAATGGTTCCTACCTTAAAAAGAGGCATAGCATGTCCTTCTAACACCAGCTGCAGACCCCTGAGTAGTGCTAAAAGGGATTTGCAGAGCTCCCTACAACTCTAGATTCAGCTTAAGCCCCTCTAGTGGTGCTGCCCACAGACTGCCCTTGCAGGGTGCAGCAGGAGGTGAGCCTGCCTTTTTGGTTTTCTCTGGCCAGCAGTAGTCTCCACTGCAACATGCCCTGTGATGAACTCTCACTAAGTGGTGTATTAAAAGCCCCTCTGGTCCTTGCAGATAATGTATGTATTCCTGTTGTGATGCTGCAGTAGAATAGAATGAAAAATTACTTCTTTGCTGGAAAAAAATTTTTGCTTTGGGGCAAAATCAACAGGCACAAATGTATGTATTGGAAAGACCTATTTCTTTGTGTGTGGCGTCTGTGTTTATTTTCCTTCTGCTGCTTTTCACCAAGAATGCCTGAAACTGTAAAACACAGAGTAACTGAGTAAGAGAGGGCAGAGATCAGCCCTCTAATCCTAAAATGAATTCTCCCTGTACAAAAGGAAACTTTAAAGCACTCTGGCTAGAAAAAAGGTTTTACTGATGCTTAAAGCACAGAATGACCATAAAACCTAAGAAAATTAAGTTCTTTATCTGAAATGCTTATAAGGAATTCCATGGGTACATTGTGACAACAGCAGAATAAGAATCTGCTCAAATTACTGCAGGCGTGTTTTTGATGGCTTCCCTGCAATAATTTATTAGTCAAAGAATAATAACATACCAAAAAAAGGGAAAAGCTGAAGGAGTGTGTTTGGCCATCATGGTTGCATGCAGCCCAGATCCTGATTCAAATTTGACCTGTACATGAGCGTATCTTTGGTAATTTTTTTGATATACTGACTGTTGCATGTTTAAACAGATGTAATTGAGAAATTGAGGGAGCTCAGGAAAATTAGACATTAACATTTCTACCATTCTTGATGCAGTTCAAGCCCAAGATGGTGAACAACAAACAAAGTCAAAGTATATTTCTCCATCTATCCTGCAGCGACAAAACTGTAAGTATTTCTACGCTGATCTATTTCTAAGATTTTGTTCCAAATCAAGTTGATAAATAATAAGATTACTAGAATGGTTTTATTCCTAGCTAGAATACACCACACACATGAAAAGAGAAGTCCTCTGTAGAATATACCCAATCTCTGACTGCTCTAAACTTGAGAACTTCCTCTGAGATCTGGTCCAGTGGATCTGCTCTATTGATATGATAGAGTTATCTAATCTTTAACTTCAGGAAAGGTACATACCTTCTATCTAAAAGTGTATTTTCAGAAGAGGTGTGTGTTTACATACGTATCACCAGGGTACTTGATAGCAGGTAATAAAAGACACGTTTTTATTTTTTTTACACTGTGTTAAGAAGACTGCATTACTCACCAGAGAATAAAGAAACTGTATCTATCTAATATATTATGCTAAATATTAGCATAATTAAGCACTGCAAGATCATGCATGACACATAACTGTATAGAGCAAAATAAGGGTGGAAGGATACAAGGCTGACTGGTATATTAGTGATGATAGGCTGAAACAGCTGATCACTGTCTGTCCTGCAAGAAGTGTACCACAAATTATTTAACAATAGCTGAGGATTATATGGTTGCTTTTGAGTTCAGAACCAGGGCCAGGATCAGATGGGAGTCTTGAACAAATAATGAAAAGAAAGCACTACAGCCAAAGGGCATAGTCTTTGGAATTCAGTTGTTAGTGAAATTTATAGAAAGACAGATCACAAAGCATTGTGTAAAAAGCACCAATAAAACCTAGTGGAAACTTCCCTATAGAGTGAAAATAGTAGTAGGAAATATTCATTACTAAAAGGGCTATGATATCTCTATCCATTTTGTAGGATTCTAATATGACTAAACCTGATAATTTTTCTCCTTTTGCTTTTCTACCAGCTTTCAAATCCCAAGAAGTGACAATCATTCCACCTTTTAAAAACACACTGAAAGTAAAGGGTAAGTTAAGCAAATGTCATGGCACAAATATCTGTGTTCTTGTTGATCACACAGGTAGAGCATGGAGTGACTGAAGAGATCAATAGATTGTGTAAGATCCTTTAGCATTGTAAAACAAAAAAATTAACAAAAAAGCAGTCAGTTCATCAGGTAACACAGATAATCTAACTGTGAATCCAGTGCTTGACCTGCATTGCGTTTATATGATGCAGCTGTAAAGAAAAAAATTTAAAATATATTTATATATGTAATAATGGGAAAAATCATGCACAATATTTGCAGTAAAGAGAGAAAAATACCAACATGCTGAAAACACTGTGGGGACATCTTATCTAGGGTATAGGGTACAATTCAAGCAGGGTGAGTGTAAATGTGGAAGAAATGCAGGAAGGGACTGTGAAGATAATCAGGGAGATAGGAGAGCCTGCTTGTAAGGAAATGAAGTCTGAAAAGAGATAAGAGATTTCTATAATTGGTGGAGGGAGTAGTAGGGAGGTGGAACCCCTTCAAGGTGAAGTGTAATTTTGGCACAAGAACAAGCAGGCATACATGAGACAGGAATATGCTTTGGAAGATGCTGGCAAAAGTCTTCTAGCCATTCAAACGTTGCAGATATGAGTGGCCTTCCCTAGTAGGAGTATCAGGTAGTTTTAAACTAACTTTAAACTGGTTTTATGGTGAAACTTCAGAACTTGATGCATTTATGAAAGGATTTACAGGATATGGATGTTGACAGAACCAGAGCATTGTATCTAGTGAACCATGAGGTCTCCTTCCCTATGCAAAACAGATTAAACACAAAATAACTGAACAAAATTAAAAAAAATTATGATAAGCAAATAGCATGAGAAGGAGGAAAAGATGGCCATTTTGGACAAAGGCTACTGAAAGAACTGGGAGAGGAAAGGCAACTAAAGGGAGGGTATCACAGCAAATTACAGAAAATTCATACTGCTTGTTTTGACTCCACAGCTGGCAACCCCTTTCACAATGGCCATGTGTGCAGCACCTGGGGTAACTTCCACTTCAAAACCTTTGATGGGGACATCTTTTACTTCCCTGGAGCTTGCAATTACATCTTTGCATCCAACTGCAAGTCTTCCTATGAGGACTTCAACATCCAGATTAGGCGTACAATGGAGGAAAATGCTACCATGATCACTCACGTCATCATGAAGCTGGAAGGAACAGTGATTGAACTGACCCGTGGCTCCGTCAAGCTAGACAACAAATTGTATGTTCATAACTTGCAACTGCCATCACTGCTGTTGATCCCAGTGAGCTCTTTAAGCAAGCATTCCTTTCCTTTGTCTGATCCCACATTGCTCCCAAGCAGCTGAAAGGCCCAGGTCTTTCCTGAAGTATTAACAAAAGTGAGGGCTTGACAGTGAGCTAAGTGCCACTTCTGCACATTGTCCTGTGTCCATTTTATGCGGATGAACTATATCACATATGGTGCTCCACTTCTGCAATTGTGTATGTATATACACAACTGAGTGCATAAGCTGGATTCAGTCAAAGTGTTAGAAACTTAAAGGGTGCAAAACCTACCTTCCATTAATGTTACTAGAACAGAATTCTTGAGAGGAGTTTTTGACAGCTCTTGTCTTTGCACCAAACAGTGTGCAGTAAAGCAGTGACTGCAGCTCATATCTGAGTTAACTTAAAATTATCTCTTCTGGAAACTTGGAATCTATGTAGCAATTGTAGCACTGACTTTGGCATAGGGTGTGAAACCTGACGAAAAGGACAGGTAAATATTTGGGCAGTTATCCCACTGTGAGTTGTCTGTTATAGCAGCTTTGTACAGTGAGCTAGTGTAAAGCTTATCTTGGGTACAGCTTTCTGAATGTCACTCATGCCACAGAAAGCCTGGAGTCCAACTCTTAATCCTCAGATGCTTAAGGCCTGAAGCATACTGCTTGCAAAACAGAGTCTCCCAGCACTTTTTTAAACCATACAACCAAAAACATAAGCCAACATTTTACCTAGAAAAACACCCTTGGGAGAAAGCCAAAAGGAACAACAGGGCTGATCTATATGCACGAGAAGCAACTGCATAGGAAATGGACTAGATGTTACAAACCTGTGTTGTCTGTATTTGGTTACTGCTCTGATTTCCTCACTGAGTGCATGTTGGAAATTCTCAAAGAGAAGGAGAAAGAATGGCAGTCCGGATATTCAATGCATCCTCTGTCCCTACCCGTGTTGACTTCTGGTGATCTTTCCCCAGGGTTCAGATGCCTTACAGCCATATGGGAGTCTTGATAGAGAGAAGTAACAACTATTTGAAAGTTTCTGCTAAGTTAGGACTGACCTTCCTTTGGAATGAACAGGATGCCCTCCTGGTAAGAAAACATCCAAAACATGGCAGAAAGCCTGTATTTTGAAAATAGTTTGTTTACATCTTTGCAATAGTAATCAGTCATGCAGACATTAGTTGCTTTTGGATTTGTATCCATTTCTAGTGTATTGTTCTGTTTTCCAGTCTTCTCCCAATTTCCCTTTTTTTCCCCCACCAACCTCAGCTCAGAGTCAATAGACCCCCAATTATAATATTCTCACCTCACAGTGAAGTAATCCTCAGACCTGGCAATGTACTGATATTCACAACCCAGGGCTAGAAAAAGAGTAAGTTCTTCTTGGTTGTCACTGACCTTTCCAATGGTGCCTACCTTGTTATCAACACAGTCTGTACAGCAAACATGTGTCAAATTTTGAGTAAACAAGCAATATTGATGTAGGCTGTGCTCCTAACCATCCAGACTGACATTTCTATGAACCTCTTTCCTTATTTCTTTTAGGTGGAACTAGATAAGAAATATGCCAATCAGACTTGTGGACTTTGTGGGGACTTCAATGGAATTCCAGTTAATGATGAATTTATTTCAGGGAGTAAGTAATAAAAAGCAATATTAAGTATTGGTGCTTGATTTTCTTTTACATTATACTGTAACATAGCTTGTGGGTTGTATTAACTGCAAAACTAGTGATACTTTATGTGTTTCTATGATATCAGTTACACATACAGTCAGGGCTTTGAGATGTATTAGACTGCTTCCATCACTGTTAGATATTTTAAGACCTGCCACATAAAACTTCCTACTTGTTTGCAATACTTAGGGTCGAGTTCTTTGTTCTTCTTTTACCTTTCATATTATAGTGATATTATTTGGTAATCAATGTTCATGTGATAGCAGGTAGTATCACAAAAGAAAATAGCTCCATGCAAAAAAACCCAGTAAACATTGTTCTAACATTTGAACTGTTTTTTACAGAGACCAAACTAACTCCCATACAGTTTGGCAATAGGCAGAAGATGGATGGACCCACAGAGCAGTGTGAGGATCCTATTCCTTCTACTGTTCAGATGAACTGCTCAGCAGAATTTGTAAGAACCTCTCTCTCAAAATTTGTTTTCTCAGTGTGAAATATATTCTCCCTATCTTTGGAGAAAATTAGTTAGAAGGAAAAAAAATATGCCAAAGTGAACACTAAAGAGTTCCCCATCTAAGAGAACACTGTATATTTTCCCGAAAGAGAAAGTCACTGAGGATGTCTTAATATAAAGAAAATGTATAATGCTTGGGAAGTCACCTGAGGTGAAAGTAACTCAAGATATGGAAGACACGAGAATTAACCAAAGGAGTTCCTTTATGTTCTTGCCCTATTGATATACTTTTCCCTAAATATCTGCTTATGGCTACTGTTCCACAAGTTTTATTGACTAGATGGATCTTTGATTTGTTGCGCTACGTGCCTTAAATGACTAGTTTCATATTTTCTAAATGTTCTGTTTTCCTTCCCAGGCTTCTATCTGTGAGACAGTATTAACCAGTAAAGCATTTACGAGTTGCAACCTGCTTGTCAATGTTCAGGACTACATCGAAACTTGCATACAGGATCTATGCCACTGTGATAGTTCTATGGCTGACTTCTGCATGTGTAACACTTTTGCCGAATACTCCCGTCAGTGTGCTCATGCAGGAGGACAGCCTCTGAACTGGAGAACCTCAGAACTGTGCCGTAAGTATCTCAGGAAGGCACTTCCACCTGTGCTTATTACCCACATCTATTAAACTTCAAATACATGAGGTTTTTCCTCAAAAAGACAGTTGCTTAAAGGTGCATACAATTATCATGAAATCTCTTTCAACCTGATCATACTCAAGACTTTGGGAATATGGACGTTTAGGGGATTTTCCTTACTAACAGTTTTTAATATATATCAGAAAACCTAAAATGTTTTAGCCTCTACTTGGATCAGGATTCCCCATCATATTTTGACAGAAAACATCCTAAATTGCAAATACTGTTTTCTCAGCCTTTCAAGGGAAAAGTCAGCTATATAATACTCTTTCTACTTTTAGCCAAATCATGTCCATTCAACATGCAATACCACGAGTGTGGCTCTCCCTGCTCTGACACGTGCAGCAACCCGGAACGATCTGCACTTTGTGAAGACCATTGTACTGATGGCTGCGTCTGTCCTCCAGGCAAGCTTATTTCCTGCCCTCTTCTCCCAGCCAAACCCACTAGCATACTTACCTGTACACATTCAACAACTTTCACACTTTGTATCATTCTCATCATGACACCAGTGTTATTGCCATCAAAAGAAAAGCTACATTTCTTCCTTCATACACGTGCTCTATTTCTATTCAGATTATTAAATATACCCTTTTAAACAACAAAGGTGCTGCAGACATGTATATAATGACTGAACTAAGAATAAGATAATTTGTTCCTAACAACAATGGCATTCAGATTCAGTTCCCAGAAAGTATGAAGTCTTTAATCAGATTTTGCACACAATGATAACTCCTACTTTTAGCAAAGCTGCATCTGGTTCACCAAATTACCAACTCCTCCTTGTCAAGTGCTGAGTGTCTAAACAACAAGGAGCTGAGAGAGCACCAGACAGTGCATACAATTTGGTGCTTCAGAGAATTATCCATTAGACCTGAGTATCAGTACAAGACAAACAATGCAAATGCATCATCTTTGTGCACACTTCTGGGACTGAAAATTTTTGTTGCTGTTGTGACTGTATGGGAGATCTTTACCCCTTGCAGCTCTTCTGCCCATTCTCATGATGTGTCAAGAATTCATCATCATTTGTTTGTGTAATGGTATTGACTTCTATTAAACAACCCTCTGCCTCTGGGCACAAAAATATTTACTGCACAAATACATCTCTGGGCAGTCCTACAAATGGTTCATCTATTCCACCTCCTTATCTAGAAATTTTAATCCTAATTCCATCCTAATGAAGTCCATAGCAGAAACGTATTTCCCTAGAGGTCTCTTTTGATCACCCTAGGATTTTAAGTAGGTTTCAATGGCATATAGCCTTTCAACCTCTACATAGCTTGCATCCTGTTATTTTAAAGTACTGTATAATACAGAAGAAATAGGACACATTCTCAAGCATCTGCTAGATGTGTATTCAAAGGCAGGTTGTGCAGTGCACAGAATGAGTAATAGACCATTTCGTTTCCTAGGAATGGTATTTGACGACGTTAATGGTGCTGGCTGCATTCCCCGAAGAGAATGCCACTGTACCTATGAAGGGGAAACTTATGCTCCTGGTGCCTCCTTCTCATCCAAATGCAGATCATGGTAAGACACTTTCACACGCTTCTTTTCTTTTAGGTGCATTATGTGAATACTTATTCGGATATTTTATAGCAACACTGGTTTCTCTGACAGTATGATCAGTGTTTCAAGAGGAAAACTGAGGCATCATCTGCCCTTATTGGTTTTTATTTCATTTACATTTGCATAACCCAAGGTTACTGAATGCCTTCTTCATTTCAGTACCTGTGTTGGAGGTGAATGGTCTTGTGTCACTCAGTCGTGCCCTGGGACTTGCAGTATTGAAGGAGGCTCCCACATTTCAACATTTGATGAGAAATACTACTCTTTCTTTGGAGACTGTAGCTATGTCCTAACCAAGGTAAAAATGAGTCATTCTTGCTAAAGGAAAGTGTTGTTATTATATATAATGTTGTTTGATGAAAACTACTGGCAATCACATCAACTTCATGAAATTTAGAGGATCAACTTGGAGCCTGTCTGTTAGGGTTATACTAAATAATACTGTAGTGATTTTGTGTTCTTTGATCATTGTTTAAGAATTGCACTGAGTTTTTAATAGATAAACTAAATACCTAGATTTTTAGTAGATATACTAAATACCTAGATTTCATAACCTTAGCTATTTTTATAGTTTATTTGTATTGGGAGAGTAATGTAAACTATTTTCATAAGGACTTCATGTTGAATCAAATCTGTTATCAACAACATCAGTCTGAATGTTACCAAGTAAGAGAATGATAAAAACTTAAGGAAGAGATAGAGTAATTTAGAAATGGATTAGACTAAATTGATGAAACTTTTGAATGAAATTCACAAGCACTCTTCTTGATCCACAATGGAAGCACAGATCAGACTTATACTTTAAACTTCTTTTGTCACCAACATATAAAATTAGATTCTCAGGGTCTCTGGAGGTAGAGAAAAATCACTAAATTTGTAATCAAAAGTTCAAAAAGCCCATAAATTGAATACTGAATTTCCAGATGGCTGTAATTCTGCGTATCAGCTATCCTCAATTTAGTCTTCATTATGCCAAAAAGTGATAAGACACCTTCAGAATCACAGCCTTCTTTGAGTGTTGCCCTGTTAAATCTTTGCCGTTAGTCACCCTTTGAAGGTGGCTAACAGAACACAGTTCAGTGAAAATTAGAACCAAGACAAAAACTGAATTTTGCCTTTATTCAGTAATTTAGTGAATAAGGATTTTAGCTTAATTGTCTCCTGTTAGAGAATATTTAAATGCGTTATTTCTTACCGGTTTGAAGAATGTTCAAATCACCAGGGTCCTTGATTAATCTATTCAGTGCAGAAGACTGGAAACAATTTCTTTCCTCTCTCTGGTAAACTTCATAACCACTGGGCAAGAAAGGCATGTGTCCTTCTTCTCTAGCATATTAAACTAAGTATTACCTTAACATTAGGAGCTATTATTACCTAAGCATTAGGGAGTTTAATGTTCAGCTTACTCACCCTTGAATGTCAGGAACAATGGATAGCTTCCAGTGTGCAGACTTCAGGAATGCCAGCTGACTTGGTGTCTGTATACATACATGTAGGACCATATAAGCAAGGAGAAATTAAATAAACAATATTTTGAAAGACTCACTTACTAAGAATTCCACTGAAGTGTGAACCTTTTAAAGATAACAATATTTTAATACAACAAATCCTTTTATCGGTATCTTTTGTTTTCTTCTTCTAGCTCTGTGACAGCAATGAATTTACAGTTCTGGGAGACATCCACAAGTGTGGCCTGACTGACACTGAGACGTGCCTCAAGGGTATAGCCATCAGCCTGAGTGGAGGACAAACTGTGAGTAGCAAATGTAGACTCCTAACATTCTGCAGGGATGTTCTCAAAGCTTAACAGACAAGTAGTTTGCAAATGACATATAACAGCACAGACAGGAAATATGCACTTTCTGTGTAATTTGAACATTATTCAAAGTAAAATCAAGAATAAAGTAAGTACTTTAGAAGACAAGATCCTAGTAGTTTTCTCTTATTTAGGTAACTTCGGGCTTTTTCTTTTTTGGACAGTCAGTGGATAGATAAGATTAAAGAAATAATATAGGAATCAGAACATCATCATAGTCTCCCTCCACTGTTTTTCCCCCCTCCATCTTGAACAGTATTAGAAAATACCTTGAAAGTACTTTACTTTTCCTAAACATGCTTGATAATCATTGCCTTTTCTTGTGGACAGAACATTGTGATTCAACCTTCTGGAAGTGTATTTGTGAATATGATCTACACACAGCTGCCATTCTCAGCAGGTAAGTTCCTTTGGAACACTTCTGTAATATTTCTCATTTTTTACTTAAAAATGTTATTACTTTAATAATATAAAGCCAAATTCTACCTTTGATTACACTTCAGCAAACCCAAAGTACTGCAGTATAGCATAGTCTCCCACTTCTAATGTAATAGGGTTTGCCTATTCAACACTTAAAATTTTGGTAAAATTAAGGTCTTAATATCTAATGAAATGGAGATTCAGTTCAAGGAAATAGTGTCATTGCACACTTCCATATCCAAACATTGACATAAGAGAGGAAAGAAAAAATCTGACATGTAACAGGACTCCAGTATCTCAAGTCATTTAATTCCCTATGTTTTCTCTGGAGCACATTCATCTCTGGAGTTTCTCTCATGACAGTTCTTCTCAGATACTACTGCACCTGAACACAAAGCAAACCATGAAAGGACTGAATAGGACCAGGCTGGAGTCTTCCATTAAATAGTGCTATATCATTTTCATCAAGGAAAGGCGATCTTCTAAATAGCAATAAATGTGTGTGTTCTTCCCCTTATTTTAAAACACCTGATTAAAAAGTGCAGGGTTTGTATACATCTGTTGTTTAGGTGTTTAGATTAGCCTGTTTAGGTGTTGGATTTGAAATCCTGTATGGATCATTTCCCCCCCCCAGTTCTTCAGAAATTAGGTTCATATCAAACACAGCTGTAGAATTCCTCTGCATAATGAACAATTATTTCAAATGCTCATCTCATATGAAATTATAACTCTTTTGTTCTTATATCCCTAGCAAATGTCACCATCTTCAGACCTTCATCTTTCTTCATCATTCTGCAAACAACCTTTGGTCTTCAGCTACAGGTTCAACTTGTGCCTTTCATGCAACTTTTTATAGACTTAGACCCATCACATAAGGGGCAGACCTGTGGTAAGTGACCTTATCATAACAAGTGCCTTCACCAGTATGTGTCATTCTGCAGGGCACTTTCACAGACCATCTTCTTCCTCTTAGGTCTCTGTGGAAACTTCAATGACATGCAGACAGATGATTTCAAAACCACCAGTGGTGTAATAGAGGGTACTTCAGCCGCCTTTGGAAATACTTGGAAAACTCGGGCTGATTGTCCTGATGCCAAAAATACCTTTGAGAACCCCTGTACTGTCAGCATACAAAATGGTAAGCTCAACATATAGTAACTTTTTCTATTCTCTTTTTAAGATGCAAAGACAGTATAAGATGATCAATCACCAAGCATTTAGACAAAATAACAGAACTGTTTGCACATATACTATTTCCCTCAGCTGACACTACAAGTCTTCAATTAATAAACAATAGCTAGGAAAATATTTTGGATCTTTAAAAATATACCTTTGGATCAAGACAGCAACTCTACAGCATATTAAGGATCCATTCCTGGAAAGGGATGATTGGCATATAGGAAAAAAACTGTGCATAGCCCCACTGAATGTTGGACTCAGTGTGGGTCCTTCCATTGTTAAACTGAGAACCAGACTTAAAATTCAGAATTTCAAAGTTTTCAAGCTCCATTTCAGCCAATAAAATACATAATTTTGAGTATTCACAAGCTTACTCTTGTTTTCTCAGACAAAATTAGCATATTTTTAATTTACAATGTGAACCTTCCTTTTCAAAATTCAGTTATGGATGTCTTAGTTTATTCCATGACAATTACCATGAATTAGAGCATTCAGTTTATGAGGAGTTCATATTTCTCTTTACAGGAAAGACTGTTCAGCAAATGTGGGGCTAAATTACATTGTAAAGTTAAGCTTCTGCAATTTCCCTGCAGGAAGTATAGTAAAAGTGAGACAAGAATTTTGAAAATGAAGTACAATAGAAACTCTTACTGTTTTTTCAATTCACAGACCAGTATGCTCAGCACTGGTGTGGACTCCTCTCTGATCCTATGGGACCTTTTGCTGAATGTCACTCAACAGTGAATCCAGAAGTTTACCAGAAGGTATTTGGCTCTTAACTTTAGCCCATTTAAGAGAAAAAGACTCAGATTTCTGATACTAACACCTGAGAGAGTAATGTGCCAATTGAGAGGAGACGCATTCGCGATAGTTCTTTTCAAGCCAAGGGTTCACTCTTATCTACACAACATAAAATTTGCTCATTTGTAAAGGTATCTTTCCATTCCCAGGAGGATAAATTATCCAAGGAGGATCAATTCCTCCTGCATTTTTAGATGCAAACTTAAAGACCAAGCTAGGAGCTTGGACTCCCTGGACTCCTTATGAGGTCAAGGGAATTCTTCCTGAGGTAGAAGGAAAGCTTTAGTCAGAATCTTTATTGGCACTTTAGTTTCTCTGAACTGCTCTCAGATGGCTTTTGCATATATCTAAAGGACAAGGCAAGCAATGTGTGTAAGAAGCAGCAATGAGATTTAGATAATATATGAACAAAAACATGCCAGGAATTCAAGGTGAAGCTCTGTAACAGACCCTGGGTACATTACAAAATCTCTCTGTTATTGCAAATTTATAAGATTATGTTTAGCAAACATTTTCTGGAATTACAATATTATAGTATCCCTGCCTTGCACAGAAACACATTAAATAACTTGTTTTCTTTGCCCCTCTTGTGCAGAGAGCCCAGGCTCTTAAGCCTAAGCTCCAAAAGCTGGGTGGCATCAAATACCCTCTATTTATTCTAAATTTACATGACACAGTGGGGGAAAAACGATGTAGTCGAAAAACCTACCAACACCTGAAAAAGAAAAAAAAAAGTTCAAAGTTGTGGACTGCTAATTATTATTTCTTCAGGCAAAGAATCTTTTTTTGAAAGTGCTCAATGAAAAACAGGTGTATGTTTACTTACACTTGTGGATTACACTCACTTTAACCTCTAATGAATGTAACACTCTAAAAACTATAGAGCACCATGGCTTTGACATGACAATCTGATGATCATATGTCATCCCCTGTTCCTAGAACTGCATGTTTGACACATGTAACTGTGAGAAGAGTGAGGACTGCATGTGTGCTGCCCTTTCCAGCTATGTCAGAGCCTGTGCTGCTAAAGGAGTTCTGCTCCCTGGATGGAGAAGCAAAGCCTGCAGTAAGTTTTACATTCCTTTGCCTTTTGAAAATGATCACCCAGAAGCTCTCACAGAGCAGCTCTCATTATTGCCACAGTAAATTGTGTTAAATTGGGGTTTAAATGTATTGACTTTCAAGAAGTTGAGGAGGAAAGGAATACCATAAAAGACGAGTGATAAACAGTCAGAAAAAAGAGGCTTTGTTAGATTACTTGTTCAGAACCAGCAGAAGTAACATGGAGAGCCATACCTTTGCAATAGGAATAAAATAAATAAGGTGTTTCTCGATTTACTTTCGCAAAAAAAAAAAAGGCAATGAGGAAGAAACATACTATGCATTAATATAGTTAAACTTTGTCCCTTTTCTAATTTGGACAAAACATTTGTATTTGTGACACATTTGTAGGGGAAAATTCTGCCCTAGCAGTAAAAAAATCCAATTTACACTACTGAGGATATCAGTAAAGCATTTGTATGTACATTGCCATGTTTATCATATATATTTTACCTCAAATACTTCATTTATACCTACATTGATTCTTAAATGAGCTACAAATGTAACTCACCTTTTTTTACTTTCAAGCAAAATACACCACCTTGTGTCCGAAATCTTTGAAGTACACTTACAATGTCGATGCCTGTCAACCCACCTGCCGGTCTCTGAGTGAGCCTGATGTCACATGCAGCATCAAGTTTGTCCCAGTTGACGGCTGCACCTGCATAAATGGAACATACATGGATGAAACTGGCAAATGCGTGCCTGCTTCTAGCTGTCCTTGTTACTACAAAGGAATGCCTCTGTCTTCTGGAGAAGTTATTCATGATAATGGTGTTGTCTGGTAAGAGATTTCTAAACAAAAAAATGAGATTGCTTACATCCAATCATGAAACCATATATACACCATGAAATCAAACCAAATGCATTTCTTTCCCTAAGAATTTCAATCGAAAAAATCACGTTCTTGAAAATTGTTAGGGCTACCTGTGTTTGCAAGATTGTAGAGGAATTGAACACAACATATTAGGGTAGGTTAGCCAAACTCCTACCCAGTCCCTCTCTCTCTCCCTCCCTTCCTGTCTTGTTTCCCTCAACACATACTTTTCTTATCTCTGACTGTAAAAGGCTTGTTCTATGGTGAAAGATAATAATGTTACAGATTATTCCCATGATGAATGGAATCTGAATTATTCTGAAGAACAGACAAACAGAGAGTAAACACTTAATATATAGAACATACTTGTATTTTGTTCTGCTCTAATATAAAATATTTCTGAACAAAAAAAATATTTTGGTAAAATACATGTATTATTTGTTTTATCACACAGTAATTTTTCATTATTTCAAATTCACTAGGAAACAGGCTGAAAATTAACCAAAAAAAAGTTAAAACACATCCATTACCTTTTTTTCTTTTTTTAATAGCACTTGCACCTATGGAAAGCTGAGCTGCATTGGAGAGAAACCTGAACCAGGTAACATATCACTTTATCCCTTAAGATTTTCTTTAATTCTCCCTTTCTGTCTTCATCCTTTTCAGTTCTCCCTTTTGTCATAATGATGCAAATTGTAAAAGTGGGAAATCAATCAAGAAAATTAACTGAGGACTTCTGTAATGTAGAGGATGATCACAAAATATAAAGAAATACTGTCTTACCTTTCAGATGGTTGAAATAAGTTATAAACCCCATGGGTTACCCAGTAGAAAAGAGTACCAGGTCGCCTCACTGAAAGTGAGGGGAAAACCATCCAAATTTTAATTGAAAGTAGTAAAAGCAAAAAATAAAACACAAAGTAATCCAGGATCTTTGTTTTCTTGGTTGGTTTTTCTGAAAGATGTTTCATGAAGCTAATTAAACATTAATTTCATGCAGTATTCCAAGCATAAGCACAAAAGCAGATAAATATGATTTCAAAACAATCAGTTTCTCTTTCTGGTCAAACGTATCATTTTAAGGTACACATGTCACAAAGGAGTTTTTCCCATTTTTCTTCAGTCTGTGTTAAGGAAACACAAAGATACAAATGCATGGCTGCTGTCATATTTCTTATGGCTTTTCTCTCTTTCAGTCTGTGTATCTCCCATGGTTTACATTGACTGTGGTAATGCCACTGCAGATGTGGTAGGAGCAGGATGCCAGAAGAGCTGCCAGACTCTAGATATGGAATGTGTAAGTATAGAGTCTTTATAACTAGTTGAAAGCACATTAAACTAGATCTCTTTTACAATAACCAGCTGCCACTGCACTCTTCCAGGAGGGAAGTGTTTCAAGACTTGTTTTCTCTATGGTCCTTACAGTACAGAACTCACTGTGTCTCTGGCTGTGTATGTCCTCATGATCAAGTGTCAGATGGCAAAGGAGGCTGTATAGCTCCAGAAGACTGTCCATGTGTTCACAATGGGAATTTCTACAGTCCAGGAGAATCAATCAGAGTTGGCTGTAACAACTGGTAAGAGCATATTGAAAAATAACATTTCCTTCAAGCTCTAGGGAAATAACATATGAGTGAACAGCATTTCACTCTAACAGCATCAAGATTTATAAAAAGGAATCCTACATAAAATGATCCACTTAGTACCTAAAAAGCAAGCTCTGTTTTTCTTGATGGTATACAGCCTAGAAATTGCAAGTGGTCAGAAGAACACCATGGTTTGGAGGCTGTCATATTCATTCAAGAAATCTTTTTTTTCTTCCCAGGACATCCTTACATTTCAATACATCCAGCAAAATTTAGAAATGTCAAAGAGTTAATGTTTTCTAATCCAAATCATTCACTACATCATTAAGTAACAGTCATTGGCTAAATCCCAAAAGTTCTTGAGCTGTGCTGCATTTCTGAGAATAAGCAAACTTTATTTTTTTCATTAGAGTCTTAACACAATATAAAATGCAGGAATGTACCTATATTGGGTGTATGTATAGCTTTTACATTTGGAGTGCTTTTTTTCTTACATAGCACATGTAGAAACAGAAAATGGCATTGCTCTGAGGAACCCTGCCTGGAAACGTGTTCTGTTTATGGAGATGGGCATTATACCACCTTTGATGGCAAACGCTTTGATTTCGAAGGAGACTGTGAATATGTTCTGGTCCAGGTAACAGAGTCTTTCCCAGATTTTTGCACAAAGTACCTTGCATTTTACCTCTGACCATGTAGCATAGTTAACATTGAATACCATTCCCTTGTTTCAGAACTATTGTGGTCAACAAGCTATGAATCAGGGAACCTTCAGAGTCATCACTGAGAACATTCCATGTGGCACTACAGGAACCACTTGCTCTAAGTCTATTAAAGTTTTCTTGGGGGTGAGTATTTTCTTTAAATTGTGCTAGAGGGATGGAACAAGCTGTCCTAGATAGACTGCGTTGCACAAGTGTCCTCCAAGATAGTGAAAATGTTACTAGACTTCTTTGCTCACTGCTAAAGATTCTGCTCTCTGCTAGAGAAAGCAAAGGAGGGAACTCCAAAATTTCTTAACGTGAGGTTGTTGAATAGAATCCTTTTGATGATAATAGTTGTTATTTCAATAAGTTACTGGCAACAGATAAACCTGAACCAAAATAGATACTTTATTAACTGGCCCTAACTTTTTCTTTTCCTGTCTTAGAACTATGAGCTGGTACTCAGTGATGGACACTCTGATGTCATCCAGAGGACACCTGGAGGAAAAATGCCATTCCAAATACGTTCCATGGGTATCTACCTGGTAGTTGACACTACTGCTGGTCTGATACTCATGTGGGACAAGAAGACCAGTATATTCATCAAACTTAGTCCCAGCTTTCAGGTACAACTTAAAATCAAAAACTTGAATAAAAATAATTCTGAAACATATCCACACTATTTCTCAAAGAAAAAGTGTGGAAATTTAGGCTGTACATGAAAGAGCAGCAATTGCATATTATTATCCTTGCTGTGTTGACTCAGATTGTGTACTATGCATTTCCTTAAATTACATTATTCAGCAATGGCATAACAGCAACTAGATCAGTACCTTTCCTCATGAAAAGACCTCACAGAAGAGACATGTTCAGGATCAGCTGAAACTAAATAGCTCAGTACTTCAGAACAAAACCCTTGAGTCTACTCTTCTTCCTATCTTTGCTTATCCTTCCTAACAAGTTAGAGACAGCTCTTTATGAAAGGCAATTTATGAAAATGTCCAACATCGTTACTTAAGAGGCACAGATAATCTTAAATAAGATGAATTCTGACATCTGTTACTCACAGATATGGGAAACTGACCTTAATTATTTTTGTGATTTTTGTGTATTTATCCTGATGCAGGGACATGTTTGTGGACTTTGTGGAAACTATGATGGCAATGGAAATAATGACTTCACTACTCGCAGTCAGTCTGTGGTAGGAAATGTGCTGGAGTTTGCCAATAGCTGGAAGGTGTCTTCTAGTTGCCCAAATGCCAATCGTACGAAGGATCCATGCACTGCAAACCCATACAGGAAAGCCTGGGCACAGAAGCAATGCAGCATTATTACCAGTGAAGTGTTTGCAAAGTGTCACTCCCAGGTATGACAAAAACTTTAGTTTTAAATTCTCTTGAGACAAAGATTACATCAATTCTTATGTGAGATGAAAAAAAAAAAAAACCACACACAAAAACACCACACAACCCACAAAACACAAATACCTAAATACACTTTGTCATGCTTTACAAAGTGAACTCAGACCAAGTTCCATGGAGACTGCATGGAAAGAATTTTCACGAAAGTATTTTCACTTGCATTTTCTCAGCTTTACCCTTGAACAAGTACACTAAAGAAACTGATAATATGGATTGGTTGTTTTTGTTTGTTTGCTTTTAATAGAAGGAAAAACCATAGATAAATCTCAGGATAGGCTTATTTTCTAATGGCATCATTTTCTACTAATATAAATATCAGCCACCTGATATGTATGACTGTGTGCTAGCTCGTAGTAACTAACAGTATTCTGCAGTTGTATCTTCAATATCGTGCAGTTCTTAGTATTACAGCTTAGTAGCAATAGCTTTAGTCTACATTTTCCTCCTGATTTTTTTTTTTTTTCAAAGCCTTCTCATGGTTTCTTCCTTTCCTTTGCTTTCTCACAGAGAAAACTGTCAGTTTCAGGTATTTTATTTAGCTATTTTAGGACAGTTCAAAGAGGAAAAGGGAATGAAAACTTCAATGTTTTCTCCATCAGGTTGAACCAAATGAATATTATCAAGCATGTGTGGATGATGCTTGTGCCTGCGACACTGGAGGAGACTGTGAATGTTTCTGTACAGCAGTAGCTGCCTATGCTCAAGCATGCAATGAGCTGGACATCTGCATTTCATGGAGAACCCCATCCATATGTCGTAAGTTTCAATCTACTACCTTTGGGAGGGGTCCAGAGGGAGAGAAAACAAAAAAAAAAAAAAAGGAAAAAAACTAGGAAAAAAAGAAGATAAAATTGTATTTGTAAAAGGTACTGTTGTATTCTTTAAAAAAAAGAAAACAAGCAAACAAACAAAAAAAACCACAAAAAAAAAGGGGGGGGAAAAAACAACCGAACAAAAAAGACAACCAACCACCCAAAAAACTCCAACAAAGAAATTTGAGTAAATAACTGGAAGACAATCTCTCTTACTAAAATGAAACCATGGATAGTAACTTTACAAGTGGTGTGATTAATGTCTGATTAACTTTTCAATCATGTAAATAAACACTAGTGCATACTAACTAAAATCAGTGATTCAATCAACTGATTTTTCTTGTTTAATGTGTAATTCTATTGTATGCTTTATAAATTTCTTTATTTCAAAAGGTGGTAAAAATGTAACAATTTTATTAAACTAGCAAAAAGACAATATACTTTTTGCCACCTATGTGATTATGCTGATCCCATGGGATTTTTACTGAGCAAAACTGAGAGACTAGTGAGCTGAAAGATCAAAGGTTATTTTGCTGACATTTCCCTTTCTTCTAGCTCTGTTCTGTGATTACTACAATCCACAAGGGGAGTGTGAATGGCACTACAAACCATGTGGAGCCCCTTGTATGAAGACATGCAATAATCCGAGTGGGAACTGCCTTCATGAGATGAGAGGTTTAGAAGGTAAACATAATAATGCATATCTCATTCCAGTTATAAAAGGTTAAAATGCAGAACGATTAACAAAATTTAGATTACTCAGTGTATGACATGCTTGTAGCAAAAATGGTAAGAAAAGACTTTTTAATTTAGTATCTTACTACCTAATGGAGCGTGCACTTGTTTGGAGTGAAGATGAGAACAAAATGCTCCAAATGTGCAATCAAAATAGTAGTAAGAGGATCTGAAATTCCACTTAGCACATGGAACAATTTGGAGAAAGCAGATATGAGTGTAGAGTTACTTCTACTTGTGAAAGGCCTAGTTTCAACTTGACTCTTCTTATCGCAGGCTGCTATCCACACTGTCCAAAAAATAAGCCTTATTTTGATGAAGAAACCATGACCTGTGTTTCTAATTGTGGTTGTTATGAAAATGGGAAAAATTACAAACCAGGAATGGAGATGCCTCCAAAGCAGAATTGTGAATCATGGTAAGATTAGTAAAGATTTTTTAAAATCGAGTTTAAAGTTGTGGAACACAATTCATCACACATTAAATTTGTTGTTTAGCAACAAGAAGCAGCCTAGTCAGAGGCTGATGAATAATATCTAATTTTCTTCCCTTCCCAGGAACTTAAATGATAACACGGTGAAACATTTTACCATTGAGAGATTAATTTACTACTTAGTCTGCATATTTGAGTGCTTTTAAATTACTATGAACATTATTAAATCATATAAAAAGAAAATAAAATAACAATAGTTAGGGAATAGTCCTAGAATTTGTATTAAGATATCCCTAAACTCATCATATGAAATTCTTTAGAAGTTAGCAGCCAACTCATCTCCATGGTTTTGAGCTTGTTTCTGCTATTTCACTGGTACTTGCATAGTTCCAACTGTCAGCAAGTATTCCCACACTTTACTCTTGACAAGTTGGGACAAGTGCTGCTAAGCCTTCTCTAAAACAGTATAAAGTTAGTGGAATTGGTTGTTAAGCAGTTAACAACTGTCTTAAGACATCTTTAAAGTTGCTATGCTTGACTATGGTAAGTAGTGCAAAGCAAATGGCAAAAAATCTTAAACACAAAACCCATTTGATCTAACCCAAATTCTTGGCATGTTTTGCAGTTCATAGACAGCTTTGTCTACATTATCTAGGCCATCAACAGCCCTAAACCTAAAGCAATAAGTAAATATTTATATTTATTTAAGTTTATTCAGTGTATGGATGCCCTCAGTCATTGTAAATAAGTACATCAAGATTCAGTTCTTAAAAAACAATAGATAAATTCCATTTAAAACCAGAATGCATTCTTGCATCTTTTGGAAGTCTGATGGAAATTTGCTGTGTAGATTACTTCAACATCCATGATACAGTGATCCTTTGTATATATCCTTACAAATGTAAATGATAGATTTACTGCATTTTCCCTTCCAAAAAATAAGTGGACCTATCAAGGTGATGAGAACATTTCAGAGAACCCTTGTTCACACCTTTGCCCAGCTCCCAAAAGCACTGATAAGGCTGCTGCATGTTTCATGGGCTGGCACAGAAGAGTTATTCTTCTTGCCAGAGAACTGCATGAAGACACCTAGCCTGAATTTGTACAGCAGAACTGAATAACTCAGAGAAGGTAGGGGCATTCTACATTTAAACAGACAAAGAATAGATTGATAGAAAAAAAAATGTGAAACAAAAAAATAATGTCATGAACTGATATATTCCCATTCATAATCTCATTTTTTCTTTCTTCCAGTGAATGCACAATTCATGGCAAAGAATGCAGATATAATGAACATGGTATGTTAACAAAGCTGTTTTTATATGATTAGGACGCATTTAAGGTATTCTGTGTTTCAGACAGCAAGGAATAACATCCTATCTTAATTTACAGAATGTGTCTGCTTCTATGAGGGACAGAAGTATAACTACAAAGATGTGGTTTACAACACTACAGATGGAACAGGAGGGTGTATTGTTGCAATCTGTGGTCCCAATGGAACACTTGAAAGGATTATCTATGAATGTCCAATCACAACATCACCCACAACAGCAACAACATTTCATTTCAGCACTACACCACCTGCCAGTACTTCTACAGGTAAATCCTTCATAGCCCATAAGTGTGTTCTGTTTATTAGTGAGTAAAATTTAGCTACAAAACCATGTCCACACTCACAGCATGAATGAATTAATACAACCTCACAATAAATTAGAGCAGTAACAAGGAAATAAACATAGAAAACAAATCCGCTTCTGAAACACCATATTAAATTACAACCTATTAAATTAAGATTGATCATTTTAAAAGTATACTCAACCCTACAGGATCACAATACAAGAAAAATTACACTAGGAAAAATGTCTGCCCATTCAAAATAACAAAAAAAAATTCTATCTACAGGAACTGATTTTAAGTTTCATGGTCTCTTCCTTTTCTCCTTTGCAGTGTCACCAACTACATCAGTATGTGTTCATGAGGTCTGTGAGTGGTCAGAATGGTATGATGGCAGTCTGCAAACCCCTGGCTATGATGGTGGAGATTTTGAGACCTTCAATAACTTAAGAGCTAAAGGCTATGAAGTCTGTGAAGCTCCACGGGATGTTCAATGCAGAGCAGAAAAATTCCCTGATATACCACTGAAAGACCTTGGCCAAAAAGTAGAATGCAGTACAACAGCTGGGCTTATATGTTACAACAAAGACCAAATTTCAACAATGTGCAACAATTATGAGATCAGAGTCCTATGCTGTGTTTTTGTACCATGCTCTACTTCAACATATCCAATTTCTACAACTTCTGAAAGTACAACATCTATACATTCAACATCGGAAGAAACAACAACAAAAACCATAATGACACCACCTGCCACCACCTTTCCTTCAACACCTCCTCTTTGCTTTAAAGAAGAATGTTATTGGTCCAGATGGTATGATGTCAGTTATCCAGGGTCTGGTTATGATGATGGTGACTTTGACACCATTCAGAACATAAAAAAAAAGGGATACAAAGTCTGTGAAAACAGAAGGGAAGTGGAATGCAGAGCAGTGAGGTTCCCTGACACACCATATCCTCTCCTGGAGCAAAAGATCTTGTGCAATACAGAAGAAGGCTTAAAATGTTACAATAAAGACCAATTGCCACCCATTTGCTACAATTATGAACTAAGATTTAAATGCTGTGAAAATATAACAGTACCATGCACAACAACAACTAAAGGTATTACTACTACAAAAACAATAACACCAACTACATTTTGGTCACCACAGTTCAGTACAACAACCGAAGAAACATCAACAACACCGCACTTAATAACAAAACACAAGACTACAATGCAAGAGACAACTCCACCACAAACAGATTATATTCATACAAGAACTACAACAAAACCAACAACACAAACACAAAAAGCAACAACTACTAGAGGTCCCACAACAACCAACATGATGACAACTACAACAACCCCCTGTGAACCCGAAGTGTGCACCTGGAGCGAATGGTTCGACGTCGACTTCCCCTCCGCCGGGCCCAACCAGGGAGACTTTGAAACCTACCAGCACATCCAGGCCGCCGGGAAGCGCATCTGCCGGCGTCCAAAGGAGATTGAGTGCCGGGCGGAGGACTACCCCGACCTTGCCATCCAACAGGTCGGGCAGGTCGTGCAGTGCGACGTCCACTATGGACTGGTGTGCAAGAACGAGGACCAGACTGGAAAATTCAAGATGTGCCTCAACTACAGGATACGCGTCCTCTGCTGCACCCCCAACTACAACTGCGTAAGCCCCTCCACCACCACCAGCCCCACCCCCAGCCCCACCACCACCACCACCACCACCAGGCCCACAACAACCAGCACGGTCCCTGTCACCACCTCCACCTCCACCTTCCACTCTTCCACCACCAGGCCCACCTCCGCAGAAATCATCCTCTCCACCACCACCAGCTCCACGCCGACGACTCACCCATCCACTGTCACCCTCAGCTCCACCACGGCCACCACCCCCTGTGAACCCGAAGTGTGCACCTGGAGCGAATGGTTCGACGTCGACTTCCCCTCCGCCGGGCCCAACCAGGGAGACTTTGAAACCTACCAGCACATCCAGGCCGCTGGAAGCGCATCTGCCGGCGTCCAAAGGAGATCGAGTGCCGGGCGGAGGACTACCCCGACCTTGCCATCCAACAGGTCGGGCAGGTCGTGCAGTGCGACGCCCACTATGGACTGGTGTGCAAGAACGAGGACCAGACTGGAAAATTCAAGATGTGCCTCAACTACAGGATACGCGTCCTCTGCTGCACCCCCAACTACAACTGCGTAAGCCCCTCCACCACCACCAGCCCCACCCCCAGCCCCACCACCACCACCACCACCAGGCCCACAACAACCAGCACGGTCCCTGTCACCACCTCCACCTCCACCTTCCACTCTTCCACCACCAGGCCCACCTCCGCAGAAATCATCCTCTCCACCACCACCAGCTCCACGCCGACGACTCACCCATCCACTGCCACCCTCAGCTCCACCACGGCCACCACCCCCTGTGAACCCGAAGTGTGCACCTGGAGCGAATGGTTCGACGTCGACTTCCCTCCGCCGGGCCCAACCAGGGAGACTTTGAAACCTACCAGCACATCCAGGCCGCCGGGAAGCGCATCTGCCGGCATCCAAAGGAGATCGAGTGCCGGGCGGAGGACTACCCCGACCTTGCCATCCAACAGGTCGGGCAGGTCGTGCAGTGCGACGTCCACTATGGACTGGTGTGCAAGAACGAGGACCAGACTGGAAAATTCAAGATGTGCCTCAACTACAGGATACGCGTCCTCTGCTGCACCCCCAACTACAACTGCGTAAGCCCTCCACCACCACCAGCCCCACCCCCAGCCCCACCACCACCACCACCACCACCAGGCCCACAACAACCAGCACGGTCCCTGTCACCACCTCCACCTCCACCTTCCACTCTTCCACCACCAGGCCCACCTCCGCAGAAATCATCCTCTCCACCACCACCAGCTCCACGCCGACGACTCACCCATCCACTGTCACCCTCAGCTCCACCACGGCCACCACCCCCTGTGAACCCGAAGTGTGCACCTGGAGCGAATGGTTCGACGTCGACTTCCCCTCCGCCGGGCCCAACCAGGGAGACTTTGAAACCTACCAGCACATCCAGGCCGCTGGGAAGCGCATCTGCCGGCGTCCAAAGGAGATCGAGTGCCGGGCGGAGGACTACCCCGACCTTGCCATCCAACAGGTCGGGCAGGTCGTGCAGTGCGACGTCCACTATGGACTGGTGTGCAAGAACGAGGACCAGACTGGAAAATTCAAGATGTGCCTCAACTACAGGATACGCGTCCCTCTGCTGCACCCCCAACTACAACTGCGTAAGCCCCTCCACCACCACCAGCCCCACCCCCAGCCCCACCACCACCACCACCAGGCCCACAACAACCAGCACGGTCCCTGTCACCACCTCCACCTCCACCTTCCACTCTTCCACCACCAGGCCCACCTCCGCAGAAATCATCCTCTCCACCACCACCAGCTCCACGCCGACGACTCACCCATCCACTGTCACCCTCAGCTCCACCACGGCCACCACCCCCTGTGAACCCGAAGTGTGCACCTGGAGCGAATGGTTCGACGTCGACTTCCCCTCCGCCGGGCCCAACCAGGAGACTTTGAAACCTACCAGCACATCCAGGCCGCCGGGAAGCGCATCTGCCGGCATCCAAAGGAGATCGAGTGCCGGGCGGAGGACTACCCCGACCTTGCCATCCAACAGGTCGGGCAGGTCGTGCAGTGCGACGTCCACTATGGACTGGTGTGCAAGAACGAGGACCAGACTGGAAAATTCAAGATGTGCCTCAACTACAGGATACGCGTCCTCTGCTGCACCCCCAACTACAACTGCGTAAGCCCCTCCACCACCACCAGCCCCACCCCCAGCCCCACCACCACCACCACCACCAGGCCCACAACAACCAGCACGGTCCCTGTCACCACCTCCACCTCCACCTTCCACTCTTCCACCACCAGGCCCACCTCCGCAGAAATCATCCTCTCCACCACCACCAGCTCCACGCCGACGACTCACCCATCCACTGCCACCCTCAGCTCCACCACGGCCACCACCCCCTGTGAACCCGAAGTGTGCACCTGGAGCGAATGGTTCGACGTCGACTTCCCCTCCGCCGGGCCCAACCAGGGAGACTTTGAAACCTACCAGCACATCCAGGCCGCCGGGAAGCGCATCTGCCGGCGTCCAAAGGAGATCGAGTGCCGGGCGGAGGACTACCCCGACCTTGCCATCCAACAGGTCGGGCAGGTCGTGCAGTGCGACGTCCACTATGGACTGGTGTGCAAGAACGAGGACCAGACTGGAAAATTCAAGATGTGTCTCAACTACAGGATACGCGTCCTCTGCTGCACCCCTAACTCCAACTGCGTAAGCCCCTCCACCAGCCCTACCACCACTATTACCAGAAGTCAAGCTTTCTCTACCAGCTCTCCATCTCCAGTCTCAACAACTCCATGTTTCTGCAAGATTGGCGATGCTATTTTTTCACCTGGTTAGTTTTCCATTTTTTTGGAGGAATATAATTCGAAATGTCTTCTTTATTTAATTTTTGATTACCTTAATTTTTTTTTTTACTTTTATTATATTTTATTTATAAGTGTTTTTCATTGTTAGTTTTTGTACTTTTTTTTTTTCCTATTTTTTGATTTCTATTTTTTTTTCGGTTTGTACAGGTGATTTGATTTACGACAGAATGGATAGTGATGGATGTAGATTTTATGCCATCTGTAGCCCAACATGTAATATTGAGCGACACACTGTCCCTTGTCATGTCACGACTCCTTTACCCACTACTTCCTCTGAGTGGTCTACCACAACATCATCAGTTCCTCTACCAACCACTACAAAAACTTCCCATTTTCACGGCTGTGTTTCGACTACATACCCTCCCTTAAAGGTATGTAATTTCTGACTTACGATATTTGAAATATTATAGCTTTTTAGGTGACAAGAGTTAAGAGCTTTTAATCCATAAAGCTTACATGTACAGGTTGTTGTAATTGTTTTACCAGTGATGGGCTAAATATGACTTAAAATTTGATTTTTTTTTTTTAATTTCAGGGTTTTATACTGACAAAGCACATTACATTATTCTTTTCTATTTACTTTAGTGCTAGTAAAACACTTATGCATTGCATCAGTAATAAAACCTCTCCGCCATAATAGAATGAGTTTTCTTGTGGATCATCTTGTTTCACTAAATAGAAATATTGAAGCTACTCTGGAGGCTTGTATCTGCTGGTCTTCTCCTATTCTTTTACTTCTATACCCTTTTTTTTTCTTTCATGGTGGTCTGTGCTGATAGTGAAGTGCACTATACATAGTATAAAGGACATCAGTTCCTTTAACATAAGACTTACCTCCCTAAACCCCAGAAGAGCTCCTCATTCAGAAGAAATGGCTCTAATTAAGGCTCCCACCTTCTTTTAGAATTAAAGACATTTATCACGTAGAATATTGGCAATCTTTTACTATCAGTGAAGATTTTCATTTTTGTCATTGCTTCAGATTTAGTAATGATTATACCTATTTGCTATCTTCTGTGACAAGAATTTTTTGTTCCTTTTGCAGCCTGGAGAAAGTTTCAAATTATCCAACTGTACAGAAGTCATCTGTAAAGGAGACAATGATATAGACGTAGTACCAACATATTGCCCACCTGTCAAGGAAATTACCTGTGCAAACAAATATCCTGCAGTCCTAGTACCCGATGAAAATGGCTGCTGTTACCGATACGAGTGTCAATGTAAGCACCAGTAGATAAAGGAATAAGCTTTTTTGAAAAAAAGCAAAGGTTTGCAAGGACTACATGGGCATTTTCTTTTCTTAGGGTTGCTCTTTAAATTACAGTATATTCACTTGAATTTCTCAATCTTTCTTCTTTGTTAGTTCTCATCTTAATCTTCCAAATATTTCCTCCATACCAGGTGTGTGTAGTGGATGGGGTGATCCTCATTACATCACATTCGATGGAATCTATTATACTTTCCTTGAAAACTGCACTTATGTCCTGGTGAAACAGATTGTCCCTAAATACGACAACTTCCGTGTTTACATTGACAATTATTACTGCGATGCAAAAGATGGACTCTCCTGCCCTAAATCCATTATTATCTTCTACAAATCTGCAGAAGTGGTGTTGACTCGGAAACTCATGAATGGTGTGATGACCAATGTGGTAAAATACATTTTTTTCTCTATTTTTACAAAAAAGAAATAAGGTCCAAAAGCCTTACTGATGCTCATTTGAGATACAGTCTATGAGAATACCATGTTGTAGAGGTGATGAGGGCAGAGGGTATTGTTACGGGGGTAAAACATAAGATTGCACTGGATTCTAAGGTCATAAACAGCTTAGCATGCAAATAACACTAGGAAACAGACTAACAGAGCTGATAGAGAAGGCACAAAGAATGCTCACACTGGTGCTTGATTCATATTTTGTGAAAATTGGTGCATTGTGCCATTCACTTATGTAAACAAACAGATGATGAACAATCACAAATGCAAGTCACAAGTGTGATTCTTCTCTTAGAGGGAATATGGGTATGTATCACTTGTCAGCTGGATGACAAGCAACTGCTTTCTCTGTATAGGAAACTTCAGGTGCCAAACAGAGCCCTCCATGCCAAACAACTCCCCCTCCCATATCCTACTGGGAAGAGAGGTATAGCTGAAGAAAGGGGGTGACTTGGAGTGTCACCTTCGTGATCCTGAACTAGTGCTGGCAAGCCAGTGAAAATGAAAAGTCAATCCCACTCTTACACTGAGGAATTTATTAGATAGAGAATGCAAAGACGGGGAGGAAAAGTTTGTCTTAACAGGTACTCTCCCCTTACAAAGCCATGCCAAATTCTCAGTCAGAAAGGCATGCTGGTTCTAGTGATTCCCTGTGAAAGAAAAAAGTAACTGACAGTTTTAACTCTAACTTTATTCCAGTGCACTGAGCAGAGAGTTGCAGAACAACTTCTAAAAAAAGCTATTAGGCAAATATGTTCACCTTCATTAGCTCATATAAGATACTGGCTGCAAACTAAAAAGCTTAGGCTAACAAATAAATATGACTGCAACATAAAACTGGCACTAGGAACACCTGACTTCATTTTGAACTCAGATAACTCCTCCAATGCCAATAATGTGTTGTATAGGGACAGTGTCATTATCCAGCAAAGTTATTACATAATGGTAGAAATATTTCTGTAGCTAAAGAAAACTACTACTCACTTTTATAGGAAAAATATTTGCAATACACAAAATTAGGAGGATAAAAAGAAAATACTTGAATATAGAATACTGTGCATTAGCACACAATCTGTACAAACAGAGTACGTAAAGGCCACTTAGTTTATTATCACATTTTACCAATATAGCAGTTCAAGCTGAGACATCAATGCAAATATATGCTATTACAGAGATGCCTGTGAGTATTGGATGTGATGCAAAACTACATGGAGTTATGCAATAATTATGAAGATTGGAGAATTTAAATATGATTTAAAACAATCAGGCAGAAGCAGTGCTTATTCTGAAGTTGTGTTTTGTTGTTTTTTCTTTTTTTAACCCTGCATTCAGATGTACTTCAACCAGAAGATCGTCAAACCAGGCTTCGAGAAAGATGGCATTTCTTTCTCCACTCTTGGCATCAATATGATTGTTGAAATAAAAGAGATTGGTGCAACTATCACCTTTAGTGGTCTAATCTTCTCTGTGAAACTCCCATATAGCAAATTTGGCAACAACACCGAAGGACAGTGTGGTAAGATAAGAGCACCATCTCCAGTGAGTGCATTTTCCCCACCCTACTGTGGTAGTTCTCACCCACTCTGGCTATGCAGTCTCATGACTGACAGAAATTTTTTTAAGAGCAGTAAAATGAAAATTAAAACAGTTCTGCTCTTCAACTTCTATAGGATATCAAAAGTTCGATATTTTGGCAATCAGGGTTTTTTGGGGGGGGCTGGGGCTTTAGACTCGTTTGTTTTTCTGTAACCTAAATTAAAGTTCATATAACTGTAAAGAAATCACTACCTATGAAGCAAGGCACCATATGCATTTCACAAGCATATCTAGACATATCAGCACAGAAATGTATTGGGCATTTCTGACATGGCTTATGAGACTTACTCAGCTTGTCTCTTCCAGGAACGTGTACAAATAACAAAGCAGATGAATGCCGCTTACCAAGTGGTAAGATCATTTCTTCCTGTCCCCAAATGGCTCATCACTGGATTGTTGACGACAACAAGACGTGTCATGGAGTACCAGTACCACCAATTATAACCACACCTTCACCAAAGCCTCAGTGTGAAACACCTCATCTCTGCAAGCTTATCCTGAGCGAGTAAGAAAAAAACCTGAACAAACTGTTTCTTTCTAGACAAAACGTCCAATATCTCAGAAGAAGAATAAAAACTATAGCCCTAGCATGTGATAACAGCTGAAAATGTTTGCCTAATGATAGAATATATACATATATGTATGTAGATATAGTAAAAAGCCTTTGAAAAGAAACAGCTCTGCCTAAATGATTTGCAAGCCAAAGATAACTGAGCAAGGAGAGGTGAAGTCAGAATATAAGGGATGCAGCAAGCACTAAAATCCATATTCCCTGGTTGCAATACAACCAGGGGATGCTTAATAACTCTTAGTTACAGTATTAAGCAAAGGCTTAACTCTACATTTGAAGTGGGTCTTCAGTACAAATCATAAAGAACCTGGTTATCAAACAGGTTAAGAAAGCAAACATAAACAGCCAAGAAGCATTCTTCATTCTTTATATATTTTATGTAAAACATGGAGCTCCCAAAACACAAATGCTTGTTTCCTGAAGTATTTTCTGTATTTGTGTATGCTGAAAACAGGGGTTTTTTTTTCAGCTGAGTCATTTATAAAGGCCCTCTTACATGTGCTTTCTGTAGTGTCTTGTAAGTTCTGAGCTATTTTCTGTGCAATTTTATTATCTCTAGGCTACCTTTGTCATCTCTTCTTTCTCGACCTGGTGCAGTTGCCTTTTACACTAAATTTGTGGTCTCAGACTGATGAAAAGCTGTGTACACATACAGAAACACTATGACCATTAACCTCTTCAGAAAATAAAAGGAGCTTCAGATTTCCGAATCTTTCCTGAACCTATCTTCCAGCTTATTGGCCATTCCAAGGCTTTGTTTCTTCACACCTTCCTTTCTGAAGCAGAAAGTCATATGCTATTAACTGGAAAGTGTTGTCTCACAGGAACACTTTATATAATGGCTCACTAACCTAGAAGGGGCTTTCTTTACTGTCTGCAGGATTTTTGCAGAATGTCATACTGTGATACCACCAGAACCATTTTTCAAAGGCTGTGTTTTCGATGGATGCCGCATAGATGATGAATCCATGCAGTGTTCCAGTCTGGAGATATATGCTACAGAGTGTGCATCTAGAGGTGTCTGCATTGACTGGAGAGGAAAGACCAACAATACATGCTGTAAGTATTGCAGAACTCAAAATGGGTGTGATGAATGGTAGAAGTTAGTTTTTTATTCAGTAAACATGTCTTCTATCTAACACTTGGCTACTGTTGACAAAAATCCAGTGGGGTCCTTTCTCACAGAAGCTGCAGACGAAGGCAAAGCTGTAGTCATTTTTGTGGCAAAAATACATCTACTGTCAATTTTTAATCTTTTTTTTGTCTTTTCCCATACAGCATTCAACTGTCCAGCAAGCTTGGTATACAAGCCATGTGGGCCCATTAATCCTGATACCTGCGATCAAAGGTATGGAAAGACAAAAAAATCTCATCCTTAAACAACTGCTTATATTTTTCTCTTTTTTCCTATTACTACCTATCTACTTTCCTTAGAAATTTAAGTTATTTCATAACAAAATGTGTTGCAATTTCAAATAATTTATTCAAGATTTATAAATATTAATCAGCCTTATCAAAACGTGCTCCTTGTTGCACGTCAGAAAGTCATAATTTTTTGTCTCTCTTATATCTGACATGACAACCTTCTGTATATGCTGTTCTGTCTCCTGCTTCACCGCAAAGATGTTGTATTCAAATACATATATTCCTCTCGTTCTAGCTCTGTTGAGCATCCTGGCTATGGAATAACTGAAGGCTGCTTCTGTCCTGAAGGAACGACACTACTGCGTACAGAAAGCAACATCTGTGTCCCTGAATGTTGTAAGTAACCTGTAACTAGTTTGGGGAATAAATAGAGATGGGGCTTGTTAGTCATGAGACCTGAGTATTACTGCTGTCTTCTACATGGTCAGATCATCAGCAAATCAGCCTCTTTAAGGTCCTTTAGTCCCCCCCATCTAAAAACTGAATAATAATATTATCTTTTTCTCATCATCCTTCCTTATATGAGACATACGAAGATGCTAGAACTCTACATTTCAGAAGAACTAGTCTGCATATTCTTTTTCTTGTTAGCTTTATCTTCACAGTATTTATATTTGCAACTGCATATATGTACTCCTTTATGTCAATTTTCAGTGGTGTGAATCTCAATTCATTTCATTATCTGGGTTTTTTTCTTTTTCTTTCCAGCTTGCAGGGAACCAAATGGAGTACCCAGATGGGTGAGTATCACAATCAATGTGGCTTAAAGTGCACAGACAAGTGAAACAAGATGATATTTAGTGTTGCACTAAAACAAAGCTTTGCTTAGGTTGGCAAAGACTTTGTCTTTTCAAATGTTTGTTCCGTTTTAGTCTTAAAAATAATCAGTGCTAGAGCAGCCCTCAGAAATGTAACAGTAAGCGATGAAGTATTCTTTCAATAACCTCACATGCAGTTTCTTTTATTTACAGAAATTTGTCTTGCTAAAGTTACTAGAAATGAAGGGAGAGATGGATAACAAGTTTTACCTGTTGCTGATAATGTTCACAGTCTGCATTCTTAGTTCCTCAGTTGCACACACATCTGCAACCTAATGTGGAAACGAGTTTGTCATAGGATCATTTTATATTCAAAAGTGCATGCAAAGCTCAATCACTTCTTTAGAAACCCTGTATCACTCGTGCTGACACCACTAACAAATAGAAAGTCATAGCTTTTCAAACACACTCAGAACCTTGTGTGGCCTCCAGTATCTTCCCCTAAGAAGCTTCAATTTGAGGGTCTCCTATAAAATCTAAGAATATGTAAAGGCTGATGTAATCAGGTATCACTGTATCCATTAATACGTCAATTAGGAGCAAACAGAATTGTTTTGGTTTGAATTTACTTAATTTTTTCTTCTTTTTTTGTGTATTTTTCATTTTTATATAGCCAGGAGAAAAATGGACAAAAGATTGCCAGGAATGTATCTGTGACAAAAATACTCTTAAGGTGCACTGTACAAAACACAAATGTTCCCTGACACAGCAAGTCTTTTGTGATGAGCCAGGTTACATGCCTGTTCAGATACAGATACCAGAAGATCCATGCTGTACTAGGACTGAGTGCTGTAAGTAGTCTTAATTCTTTATCATGGGGAATAGACTATATTCATTTTGGGAAACTACAGCAACCATTTCTCACTTTTTTAATACTTTGCATGAATGTAATAATGCTTTTCTCCCTCAACTCACTTTTTAGGGCCTTCTTGCAGAGCATATACTAAATGCCTGAAGATACCAAATTTAAAGATTAAAAGATTTTATATAGTTAGACACAGAAGTAACTGAAAATTTCTATAATTTAACATTGAAAAACTTTAATGCTGTTATCATCCGAAACAATATTCAAAAACTATTCAAAACATTTTCTGTTTCAAAGACCAGTATTAGAAAGTTATCTTAACTTTTAAAGAACCATAGTCTTGAACATTTAAAAATTGCTCAAGAAAGTTCCTGAACCACTGACAGTAACAAGATTTCCCAACTGGTACAAATTTCTTTTTGGAATTACCTCTTTCCAGCAGTCACCACTCTGTTGTTCTCAGACAATGTTGTATTTTACAAGTGTTATGGAAAAGTCCATTGACTCTGAAAACACCTAGGCATGTAGACTGAAATAGTCATTAAACTGTCTTATGAAAACAACATCATATTTTCCCCACTGGAAAACTTCTGAAGTTCATGTCAAGCAAAACTGCTTTCCTTTAAAAATTCTGAGTTCATTATTTTCTATATTTTCTTCCATGAAACAGACTGCAACACCAGCCTCTGCCCTGAGGTCACACCCCAGTGCTTAGAGGGACAAGAAATAATCACAATAATGCAGCCTGGAAAATGCTGTCCTACCTTTGAATGCAGTAAGTACTGTACACCTTCTTGTGTTATTAACTATTATATCTTTCTAAGTTTGTGAATACAAAAACCTTATTATCTGTGTTATCATACTGGGCCTTGTTGCGAATGAGTGTTTTAAGGTTGCCCCCACAGGCCTACAAAGCAGGAGTCTTTTCACACACTTCTGCCTCTTAAAACTTGCACTTCTGAGACACCATCTTTCTTCCTTCTTTACAGGACATGGCTGTGTAGTCAATGAAACTTACTATGCGGTAAGTACACAGAGTAAATTACCATAAAAATACACCTTCACATTGCTCACAATGCAATGGTTTTGAGATCCCTATCATGGTCCATATTTTGCAGAAAGGCCTGAGATATAATTATATAATATTACTAATTATTTAATCAAGATTAGCATATCAACACCCTCTATAAAAGCAAAAGCATTTTCTGCTCTCCTTTCTGCAAAAGCAGAATTTAATTCCAAAGTCATTATTACCAAACCAGAAACTCTTCTTAAATAAAACAACCAGAATTGTCGTTATGGATAGCTTAGTCTATGCATCTTTTGTATTGTCTGTGACTTACATGCAAAGAGCAATTTGCGTTTACTAACTAATCATGACTTTTTTCCCGACTCTCCCTAGCCTGGAGCTGTCATTCCATCAGGCCCCTGTGAAGAATGCACCTGCTCTGAATCCTCTTACTTAAGGCCTCACCGTGCTACCATCAAGTGTGAGCCTGTTATCTGTGACACATACTGCCCACTGGTGAGTGCTATTTTGCCACTAGAAATTCCTTCCCCACTCAGCTCTAATGACCACTAGTTAAGGTCAGTGACCTGACTCAATGTCATTCCTTTTCCGTTTCTTTCAAAACAGGGTTATAAGTATACAGAGGAACCGGGACAGTGCTGTGGCACGTGCAAGGCAGAGGCTTGTGTGGTGACTGTGGGAGACAACATTACACACGTGGTCTATGTAATTATCACTGGTTTAATTCACTTTTGGGGAACTCTGCTAGTCTCTTCATTCTTTCCGCTCCTTGTATTTGTCCAACTTATTTCCTGCATCTCTTCTCATGTTAGACACATGCTTATTCAGGCAGGGAGTGGACTGCCTCCACACAGTTTAAACAGTCCTCTATGCAGTGAAACTCCAAGTTCTAAGACTTCTGGAAGCAACTTTGATACTGAACAATGGCTTTCAGAAATCAACATAGAAAACTACACGGGTGAAAGCAATGGGCCATTATGTGCCTTCAGCTCTGAAAATGTAGCACCCATTTTGCTCAGAAAATAATTTTATCTGTGGAGGCGGTTTTCATCTCCAAACAGCCTGTCTTAAATTAGCTGAGAGTTTTATGACAGGATGAGTCAGGGAAGCCATCAGAAATTCCTCCATGTATCTGAATGGACATACCCATAAATTCTGATGACAAAACCCTTGAAACACAAATTACTCCTTCCAAATGAGTCCACATACTTATCCTATTCACACAAGAAGTTCATCTATATCAAGATAAAAATAGATCCTCTTCACTTGGTTAATGAAAAACATTTGTGCAGTACGATAATATGACAAATAACTATGAGCTGAAATTCAAGGAAATTGTTTAGAATAATCAAACTGCTGTACACAGCGATGATAAGACACTGGGGTTTGGGTGGGGTTTTTTCAATTTTTTTTATGAAGATTTTTATTGACTTTAATTTTGACTCCTTTCAGGAAGGAGAATACTGGAACCCACCTGGTGATAACTGTACAGTTTACACATGTGAAAAACATGCTGACCAGTTCATTCAAGTCATCAGACAGACAAGCTGCCCCGCCTTTAACCCTGATGAGTGTGATCCGGTAAGCACTGTTCTACCAGTTCTCATATTTAAAAAGATTGCAGTGGCTAATGCCACTGATAAAAGAATTATGGTCTCCAAGGAAAATACCTAGCAGAAGCATCATACAGGAAGTAGCTCTCTTTTTGTCATCTCTGAATCTGAACCCCACGAAATTTTATTTCAGAAAACCAACTCAAAGTTAAAATGGTGATATATCAATCCTCACTGAGCATTGGGCAGTAGAGAAAAGGGTACAGCATTATGGTTTGGATTCCTATAAGTGTCAGGTTAAAAAAAATCATATTGATTTTTTTAAACATACTTGCAGGTTTATTCCTAAATTATTTTTAAGATTATAAGTTATTTGGTTGCTTTTTTTTTTTTTTTTAGAATTCACTAATTGAAAGGAAAGGTGAAAGAAAAATAAGCTAGTTCATTCAAATTAATACTCAGGGTAGATTAGAACCAGCCCCACACTTCTGGCAAGTCAGTTATTTCATTCATTGTGTTACCCTGTCTGACATAATCCTTCACCTGTACTGGCTTTGGTCACTCAATATTTTGACCTACATTTGCTATAAGCTAAAATTTTACTACTGAACTTGGATGACAACAAAGCATTTCTGGTCCTCCTCCGTTTCAGCTTTCAAAGAACTCTTAATAATATTTTAGTAATGTGCCCTTAATATTTAGCCTTGCTTGAAATTAGATTCCATGTCAATATAAAAATAAAAAACCCTCTGGTGCCAGAGAAACTTAGGAAGCTGGGAGAGTCTGCTTCAGTATACAGATACGAAACCTGAGTTATCTTTATATGTTTTCCCACTAAAGAATGACATCAAGTTATCTGACGATGGTTGCTGTGTAGAGTGCCGAAGAATACCGAAACGTAAGTAATGATAATTTTGTTAAGAATAAGTAATAATAATGTCTGCCTTATTAGGTATATTAGCCCATCTCGTATAGACCAAGTTTGGGATCACTGCTTCACAGTGGGGTGGGAAAGGAAACAGGTGGAAAAAGAAAGGAACAGAACATCTCCAGCATGCATTTTAGGGCCTTGGGAAACAAAGATGTGGTGAACTTTCCCATCCTGTACTGTTAAATGTTAGCTTTTTTTGTGAGAGGGTGAGGACTATGAATACTCCCCAATTTCCACAGATACATCCTCTTTAAGGAAGAAAGGGAAGCCAATCTTGGGAGGTGGGTGTGCATTGAACAGTTGCCATTGTACTGCTCTTTATTTCTGCATTCTTCACCAAAGTTGCATAAGAAAAAGGGAAAAATTCATCCATGTGATAACACAAACAGTCTTCATTTGGCCCCTAAGCAATTATTAAAAAAAGTGTACTGTGACTTAATTTCCCATTTCAGCTCCATCCATCTTAGTTTTTGATTACCCACTGTCTATCATACACAGATATCTATTTATATGCACATATATCTTAACCTATTTTCTTTTGGTTTGTGATGACTTCAGTTTGTATGAAGCACAATACTACGGCTGTCATCAAATATAATGGATGTGTATCTCCTGCACCTGTTGAGATGACATACTGTGAAGGCAGCTGTGATGCTTACTCACGGTGAGTGGTTTAAAAGATAATTGTGGTCTCTTGTCTTCTACTCTTTACATCATTTACATAAAGCGAATTGCAAATGATTTTCTGATGTGTCCAGCATCCATCCAGTCATCAACTGTTTGCATTGTGATAATTAACCAGAATTTTTAATATACATGGTGTTGTATTAAATTACCTCAAGATTCCCAATGTTTATCAGCCTGTTCAGTGTCAGTTTAGATTTTGCCCATGTAAAAGCAAGGTTATTTGTTTCTCGTTTTTCTCTCACTGAACTGGCTCACTATGTGATCTGGATTAACTCCTTTATTTTTTTCCGTGCCTTAATGAAGAGTTAGATCCATCAATTTTTACAATTAGGAACAACTTAGCTATATTTCACTACAATACTGTAAGAATGGTAATATTGAGCAATAGTCCCACATGCAAGTAAACAACTTTTGGTTATGTTTTGTAACGGGTGGGAGGGGCAGTGGTATTTCTCACACAAATTCTGAATCTCTCTCTTTGGTTGTTTTTTTCAATCAGATATTCTCAAAAGACAAACACAATGGAACACAAATGCTCGTGTTGTCAGGAAATCAAGACCAGCCAAAGAAAGGTGACTCTGACATGCAGTGACGGAACCTACCTGGATCACTCATACACCTATGTGGAGAAATGCAGCTGTGTGACTGCTCAGTGCATTCCCCAAGACGGCAGCCAACAGCAGACAAACCAGATAAAGACCTCTCAGGAACAGGCAAACGTCAAAAATTAGAACTGCAGAGAAGTTGCCAAACAAGGGCTGGACATAAGACTAAAATAAAAAAACTTTGAAAAAATATGAAAGTGTCAAGAGCAGCTAAAATTTTGGAGGAACAGATTATATTTTCTGCATAAAGCCCAATATGTTTCGTCTACATAATTTCGGTTTCCATTATCAATATATCTCCCATTTTTGCTTTCATGTCTCTTACCTCCTTGAGAAGTACAGCATAAGGTCATCTTGTCATTTTCTGTTTATTTGTCTTCTGAGAAGTGCTGTAACATAAGATTGAGAGATGGATTTTTAATAACATTTTCATTCCAGTTCATTGAGACAAATCAAAAGATAAATCCAGAAAACAAACAAAAACCAAGGAAAACTGTACCTCTCTACTACTATATGTTTCTTTTTGCATTGAGGAAGAACTTAGACTGCAGAAAGCCATACTTTTTTCAAAACTGTAAACGTCAATATTTTGGACAATTTATGATGGACATATTTCCCTATATATTTTTTGTGAGAAAAAGGAAAAAATCCTAATATGAGAAGCTGCTGCACACTACTTTTTGTTTACATAACACCAACAGCATAGTAACTGCATGAAAATATGGGGTTTTTTGTTTTGTTTGTGGTTAACTGTTTACAGAAGAAGTATATATATATATATATATTTGCCAACAGGGGCATATGAAGGATTTTTTTTAAAACAGAAGTTTAATAATAATAATAATAATAATAATAATTGTAAATTCTTAGGAAGCTTGTAAAAGTTGAACTATTGCTATTTATTATTTTTTTAAAAATTGATTTATTGGGTCATTTCTTTCAGAAATAACGTTATCCCATTTCTTTGTCTCAGTCATGTTGTCTGGGTATGGTATATTTTTCTTCTTTTATTTTGTTTTTGAATATTGTTTTATTTTTGTTCCTTATGGGGGGGAAAGCAATGATTATTAATAAATTTTGAGCATTTTACAGCACATCTGCTTTGACTCTTCACTGAATCCCTCACATGAGAGTTGCTGGCCCCCTAAAGCATAGCTGCAGGTCAAAAGTCAATCTAGGCTGTGGTACCGAATCCCCTATAGATGGGGCAAATACTCAGTATTCTAAGCACTTCGCTTCAGATGCTATGAATTAGTGAACTTTCAGTAAGCAATCACATCTCTGAGTCTGTACGTATTTTGTGGCTCCAAATGTTCTTTACCTGACTGACAGAAACTATCCAAAGTGTTTCCAACCAGTTAGTCCCATATTTTAGAGCCCGCTGCAAAATATGGAAATCTCAAACCTGAAATTGTGCTGCTGTCAATCTACACGTTTGCAGCTTTAGTTACAGTATACTTTGAACCAGCCACCACAGATCTGACTGCAGATTGTGTACTACCAAGCAACGTCTTTTAGACAGCTTATGAATAAGTGTTCTAGGATTGCTAAGGGAAACAGCAAAAAACTAAAGGTGATAACCTTTCTCCTACCTTAGAATTGGGACAGCTCAGTAGAGGGAGTAGCAGGGTAACAACATAGGCTTTCTGCTGGTGCCCTGCAGCAGCTTAGGCTGCGTTCACACCTGTTTTTCTTTCACAGAACAACCACCACCCATGTATTTCCCCACTGAGAGGTGAGCACTGAGTTTTCCGTGAGAATTGCTAGTAACATCCTACTTCCTGCTGGCAGAAATCCCTACCTCCCTCCCAGCTTCCTGTTGGCAAACTGTTACTTCGATGTCTGTTTTTTAGTCCTTGGGCTTTTTTGCTTCCCAGTGACGCTCCAGGTGGCGCCCTACTCTGTTCCCTCCTTTCCACCTAACCCACCAGACTTCCCAATGCAGCACAACTACTGCATTCGTGACCGGTTCAACACGTGACAGATTCTCTGACCTTACCAGGCAAGCTAGGAAATTATTATTCTCCTGCTCCTTCTACAGAAGGGGAAAGAGATTGCCTGTTAAATAAAATCAATTATTATGCACTTCGATGGTCCACAACAGCTCCTTGTCCACAGCTAACCTACTGAAATAACAGATTTCCTGCATATTGCTTCAAGATCATTAGTTGTTTTTCCATGCAAAGCCTGTATCTCAGCATCTCAGAAGCTATCCTCTTCCCTGGAAATGTCTGTGTGTAGTAAGTCTGTTCCACCACACACTTCATACAACTCACTGAAAGAGCAAAAACCAATACAGTGAGAAGGAAGAGAGTGGGAGATGTGGCACATGGGAAGACCGAGAGGTGATAATGACAGGGACAGTAGAGGCCAAAACCAGCCCAGAGTTTGGTGGCATGATTAAAAAAAAAAAAAAAAATCAGAAAGAGAAGCAAAAGAACAGATAGGCTTTAGTCCTGGCATGGGGAGACAGGAAGCAAGGGACACATAAGCCAAGGCAAATAATTAAGGCAGAAAGTACTGGAGACCCTGCCTTGGAGAAGGAAGGATCTCTGTCACAGATGCAGTCCCAGTGCTAGGAAAGAGTGAATGGGAACCCTCAATTCTAGAGAAGGACAGGGAACAACAGATGAAAGATTTTGCAGGGACTCCTTGAAACAAGACATGGAGTAAATGAAAACTGCTGCAATAGATTTAGTAGATTTAGTAGAGCAGCCTTACAGGCTTCCTAAATTTTCCTTTATACAGGACCTATCTTTGCTCTGAGCTGTTTCTGACACAGACTGGGTAATAACTCCGAAGTAAACCTTTCTAAAAACTGGATGAGATCAGTTATCTTTCTCAAAACTAAATTACTGGGGTTTTTTTTAAACCATAGATAAATAATAGAGTCAATAAATGATTAGGTGGGAGAAAGTAATTGGCTTGGTAGCTCTTTATTGACACAGGTCACCCTGAATTGTGCTGGTGTAGATGGTTAATGTATGTTACACGGACAGTAACACCAGAGGGCTCCAGGCTCACAGTTTACAGGCCTGGGAGAACAGATTTGCTGTCAAAAGGGTTTCTTTCAAGGCACTTTGAAGTGAGTAACATAACTCTTCCTTACTTTCAGAACAAGAAGATAAATCATGCCCTTAACTAAGCCTTGAATCTACAAGCATCCATTACACATAACAAGACTTGTTTATACATCACATAATTTTTTGTCTTTTCTTATCTAATCATCTTTGAAACACAAATAAGTTGCAACACAGAAATCATTCACTTAGGAAAGAAGTTATGCCAACTGAAGAAAATACCAACATTCAAAGGTTTTGGGTCTAATTTCAGTATTGGCAGTCAGTAACTCTTCCTTGGGCATATTTGCTCCCCCCTCAGGACTCTTGTTATATAGTCCAACTATTGCATCACCAGCTTATTTTTTCCTCTTTTTTAAACAACATATTAAAACTCTGCAGTGTAAATAACAAATTACTAATAATCACTTTCCAATTATGCTTTGTGATTATCAGCAACGTATAAACTATAACCTTAAATTATATGACTATTTAGATTCGGGCTAGCAATCCACTTCAAGTAATTCATTTGCCTCTAAAAGCAGGTCAAAGAGAGCTTAAACCACATCATGTTCTGAAAACAGCTACTTGGGATTGTTTGTGGCACAACTCAGGA